AGCAGTCGAGGTCCGCTAAGAGGGCTAAGAGCCTTTGGCCTACATCAGGGAGTAGCCCTGACCAGAAAACCTCAATTGCTCCTTTGCCTTTAATGGTCCCACGCGAAGACTCAGGCCAAGAATAAGAGGAAGCAAAAAGGAGGAAGGGAAAGTTTAAAATAGAGAGCATTGAGAAAATTACAAGACCAGACCTTCCTCTATGTAACACAACCATCAAGCATACATACCACATTAAATCACATTCGTGTGGACTGGTCCTTCTTTCATTCAGACACACGCTGCACCCACCATTCTCACTTTGGGGATCCCTGTACACAGACACAGACAATACACAGAACAGAGAATTTCTTGGCGCGCGCTCCTTAACTCAAGAACTTAAAGTACAGAGCGGGAGGGGAGTAGCCAAGCCAAACTCCTTTCTTCTCCCGGGGGAAGGAAAGCTACGCCGTCTTCCCCACTCCAGACCACTCCGGTCCCTAAGGCCAGAGTGTTAGAACCAGGGGCCTCTGGGCACATCTGCCACTCCCACTGGTTTCCAGAATACAGACTTACGGGTCCTGCACAGGCACAAATGTTCAGACGGAACGTTCCCAGAACAGGAAATAACTGACAGATATTCAGACCAAGACAAATCACAAGACATCCTTACCTCCTGCTGATCTGAGGAAATGGGTCTGGGGGCAACCGAATCCCGGGACAAGCCCCCAAATGTTGGGCCCCCGGTCTGGGGTACCCAACGTCCACAGAAGGTCGCACCCCAATGACTCAGTCCTCAGACCAGGAGATGCAACAAGCAAGTGGATTTAATCGTTTGCGCAGACAGGCTTCTGCCTCACTCGGAGAGAGAGCAGCAGCCCAGAGCTCAGCTTACAGGCTTCTTTTAAAGGCAAAAACCACAAACCAAAACCGGCAGCAGTGGGAGGGGAAAGTTTTGGGTGATAAGGAGCATGAAAAGGTTAGTTCTTTCTCAGCAGTTTTATTTTTCATTTTACTTCCTAGGTGATTTTCAGCTTGTGCACAGAGCATGAAAAAGGTCAGCTTTTTCTCAGCAGTTAGAATTATTTTACATCTTACTTTACATCTTACTTCCTTGTACAGCTTTCCAGAATATTATTCTTTGTTCTGGGGGACTTGGTTTGAATCCACTTTGACCTGGGGGGGCTTTAGTTTGATTCTATCAATGTTATAGTTAAGGATAATCCAGAGGAGATCAATATGATTTTTCAAGTCTATATAGGTGGGTGGTTACAGAGTGTAGTTTATTTTTTTGTCATTTTTATGTGTGTATGTTTTGAGACAGGGTCTTCCTATTGTGCCCAGTTCGAGAGACCCTAAAGACCACCAAGGAGCCGACCAATGCAAGCACACAAGGGTTCTTTTATTGTTACAAGCTTAAGCTTGGGCCCACTCTGTCACTGACTCAGCGGATCTCAGATGTGAGACCCTTTGCTTTGGGAGACAGAGGTTTTTATAGGTTTATTTCAACAAGTTCAGCAAGTAGGGGAGTAGGGGGTCTTCAACCTGGCAAGCATCTGATTAGTTGATTAGTTGCAGCTCAGTGCCAAACCATAAACTGCTAGCTTCAGGAAATCTGAAAAGATATCTGGACTTTTAGTACCTTCCTGTCCCTGGCTAATTGACCGTTAATATCCGTTCCAAGTATTGTGGTTTTTCTTGAACAGGGCCCAGGGCTGGGTCAGTCCTATGGAGGTTTTATCTAAGATGGAGTCACTTAGGTCTCTCACTATAGCCCCCCCAACTGGCCTGGAACTCACTAGACCAGGCAGGCCTCAAATTCATAGAGATCCGCCTGTCTTGCAGAGTATCATTTAGAACCCATGTCTAGGCAGCGCTTTTTCTTCTTATTTAATAAGAGTAATACTTGATTTATTTACAGGATTCTTATTCTTGAGTGGACCTGATGGAATAATAGCTGGGAAAGACTTGTTCCATTGGATAATATTTGAAATGTAAAATTGCATTATTAAAAGTGACAGGGAGAAAACACACTTATATCCAGGCCTGGTGGCTTAGGCCTGTGATCCCAGCATTTGATTAAGATTTCCCTGAGTTTGAGGCCAGGCTTGGTTATATAGAGTTCCAGGCCAGCCTGGGCTAGTGTTAGACCCTGTTTCAAAAATACCTCCGAGAGACAGAGGCAGAGACAGAGAAAAAACACAAATGTAGAAGCAGATAGAGGATGGAGGAGATGGGACAAATGAAGCATGTGTTTATGAAAGGTATCAGCATCACTAGTGGTCAACCTGTTAACGAATGCTTCTTCCTTAAAGGGTCTCTCCCTGGTCAGGCTTTCTTGCTGATACCTATCTCCTTCTCTTCTTTCTTTTTTACACTGGTTGTTTCATGTTTTTAATTTTTTTAAAAAATTTTTATATGTGTATGAGTATATTGTCTGCATGTAGGCAGGTACACCTGGGTTGTGCAATGCTCACAGAGGTCAGAAGAGGTTGTCAGATCCCCTGGAACTGGAGTTAAGGACAGTTGTTAGCTGCCATGTGGGTGCTGGGAATCAAACCCAGGTCCTCTGCAAGAACAACCAATGCTCTTAACTGCTAAGCCATCTCTCTAGACCCCTCATGTTTTTAATTCTTAAATATTACAGAGCTGTGTGTGGTGGCACTCGCCATCACTCGGAAGGCAGAGGCAGATAGATCTCTGTGAGTTCAAGGCCAGTCTGGTCAACATAGCAAGTTTCAGGCCAGGTGGAGTTACAGGGAGGCCCTGCCTCAAAAAGACAAAAAAGAAAGGAAAAAAAAATTACAGTTGTCAAAAGATTATTTGGCTTTCTGATCTTGACATTTACTGATAATAGTTATTAATGTGTATTAATCTTTATTATTAAAGGGAGATAATCTGATGGCTTTGGCAGAAGCAACTATTGCTCAAGCAGAAATGTTGGAATTGAAAGCAGATTTCACTGGTCCAGTGGAAGGAACAGTAATAGAATCTTTCACAGACAAAGGAAGAGGGTAGGACTGTGTTAAAGTTATTTTTACTAATTATGTTCCATGATTTTAAAAAATAACTTTTCATTTTTTGTGTATGAGTGTTTTGCCTGCATGTAAGTGCACCCATGTTGTGCAATGCATCTGTAATCCCAGCATTCAGAAGGTTGAGGTAGGAAGATTCAAGGCCAGGCTGGTTATATAGAAAGACTGTCTCAAAAACCACATTGAAAAACCAACAAGCAAAAACCTGGGCTTTGTGAATGCTAGGCAAGTATTCTACTACTCTGTATATCCCTAGTGCAAGAAGTATTTGTGTAGTATCTAAAACTGCTTGAGAAGTTGAGGAGGGAATTCATCCCAGACTCGTGGAGTGGGTATGTGTATACTTGTAAAGATATTTTTGCTGTGCTTAAGGAAGTACAATTATATCCTGATTATAGCATTAAGAATATTTACTTTTATATTCATTTTAGTTCTGTTACGACAGCTATAATTCAAAGAGGAACCTTAAGAAAAGGCTCCATTCTGGTTGCTGGAAAGAGTTGGGCAAAAGTACGCTTAATGTTTGATGAAAATGGAAAAACAATTAATGAGGCCTATCCCAGCATGCCAGTGGGGATTATAGGCTGGAGAGACCTTCCTTCTGCAGGAGATGAAATTCTTGAAGTAGAATCTGAGGTACATCAAGCTTAATTCCTACATAGTAGATACTGTATGGTGGCTTTAAATACCAGGCTGTAATGTTTAATATTAAGTATGCTAATGTTAACAAGTAATTGTAGTTTATAAGGGGCTTTGAAGAGGCCGGGGTGCCATTTAGAACTTAATTATAGTATTATTTTTTTTGTGATAAAATCTTACAATTGTTTCACTTTTACACAAAATTTCTAAATTAAAGTGCCAGGCATGGGTGGTGCATGCCTTTAATCTCTGTGAGAGCTAGGGCAGCCTGGTCTACACAGCAAGTTCCAGGCTAGCTGCTATAGGGAGACCCAGTTTCAAAAAAATAATTTTTTTCACAAGTTTCTTGAAACTTTTTTTTGTCTTTTTGAGACAGGGTCTCCCTGTAGCCCCAGCTATCCTGGAACTCGCTATGTAGACCAGGCTAGACTTGAACTCACAAAGGTCTACCTGCCTCTGCCTCCCAAGTGCTGGGATTAAAGGAATGCACCACCACACCCGGCGAAACTTTTAAATTAGTCGTTTCATACATGAGTTAAGCTAATTTCATAATGGGCAAAACACAAAGCCTTTAACTTAGCAGACTTTGGTGTCTGTTGCATTAAATAATGCCAGTTTTTCCCCTGTACAGCCAAGGGCACGAGAAGTTGTTGACTGGAGGAAGTTTGAACAAGAAGAGGAAAAAAATAAACATGACCTAAAAATAATAGAAGAAAAGCGAAAGGAACACCAAAAAGCACACCGGAAAGTACTGGAGAAGTACAGCTCCTTGAACTGGAAGCAGAGGTTGTATGTAAAGTACCTTGAAAGAAAAGAACAAAAATCCTCAAAGCCTAAAGAAAAAGAAAGAAAAGATTCAAATGTACTTCCAATAATTATTAAAGGTATCTTTTTGAAGGTTTTACTTTACAACTCACTGTTTAAATATCGTCTTTATTATGCTTAATTTAGACTCCCCCACACCTTTTTTTTTTTTGTGTGTGTGTGTGTGTGTCTTTTTTGAGACAAAGTCTTGCTTTATTTATAGGACAAACTACCCTGGAAATTGCTATTGATGGCAAGCTGGCCTTGTTTGTCCTGCCTCCTTCCCAGTTCAGGGATTACAAATGTATCATTATCTCTGGCAGACCCTTAAATCCAAGTAGAAATTATTTCAGTGGTTTGAAGGTCAAATTTCTTTCTGAGAAAACATATCTCTTTCTGATTTTATTGTAGATGTACATTTCATTGTATTAGTAGGTATTTAGAATGCTAAACTTAAAGTGCTTTTAGTGATAAAGCCTATCATGGCTTTAAAATTGATGATCATTTTTCTGTGTCAATGCCTCTTACAACCAACAAATTTTAAACTTTTGCTGTATTTGTAGGTGATGTTGATGGTTCTGTTGAGGCCATTTTGAACCTTCTGGACACCTATGACGCATCCCATGAGTGTGAACTGGAATTAGTACATTTTGGATTGGGAGACATTAGTGAGAATGATGTTAATTTTGCTGAAACATTTCATGGTAAGGATTCTGTTGATTCTATTTAACTGTTCCTTCAATCATATTATGAATTGGTTACTTATGTCTTTTGTGGAGGCTTATCATTCCTGCCAGCATCTTCCTTCCCGCCATGGTCTAGCCCTTAGCTAGATAGAAGCTAGGTAAAGTGGATAGAAGATAGAAGTGCAGTGATCACAAAGCTCCACTTGTCATGGCTTACTGCAATCTTGGGAAACTATTGAGAAACTCAGTAGTGTTCTTTGATTTTTTTTGTTGTTGTTGTTCTTTTTGAGACAGAGGCTCCCTGTATCCCCAGCTGTCCTGGAACTCACTATGTAGACCAGGGTGGCCTTTGAACTCACAGAGATCCGCCTGTCTCTGCCTCCCGAGTGCTGGGATTAAAGGTGCACGCCACCGTACCTGGCCTTTTAATATATTTGAGACAGGGTCTCCCTGCAGACCCAGCTGGCCCGAACTCACTAGGTAGACCAGGTTGGCCTTGAATTCAGAGATCTGCCTGCCTCTGCCTCCCAAGTGCTGGGATTAAAGGCGTGCATCATACCCAGATGGATTTTTTTTAAAAGCATCATTATTATCCCATTCCCATTCCATAGCCTCCCCCCCACCATCTTTTATTATAAACTTTGGAGTGCTCCTACTGTTAGCAGCCTATTCAGCACTTCAGCTTTTACTTTTAGCTACTTATTTTTGTTATTTGATAACTATAAATTGTACATTTTTAGGTACATAACTTGTTTTAGCTTTAAAGGCATGGAAAAAAAGGGGAGTGCATTAGTTGAACTTACAGAACATAAAAAGGGCACTGATGACTGTCACTTTTAAGTCCAACACCTAGTAAACCACCAGCATTATTTACTGATTAATGAATTGATTATAGAATCAGAAGTCATCTCTACTATTGAATACATATAGTAATGCCAACTAATTCTAAGTAATCGTTGGGCACTGTAGCCTAGCAGAGTGTATTAAAAGATTTTTGTGAGACAGGGTCTCCCTGTATCCCCAGCTGGCCTGGAACTCATTATGTAGACCAGGCCAGCCTCCATCTTGAACAGAGATCTACCTGCCTCTGCTTCCAGAGTACTGGGATAAAAGGCAGGAGCTCTGTGAGATGGAGGCCAGCCTGATCTACAGTTGAGTTCCAGAGAGACCCTGTCTCCAAAAAAAAAAGAAAAGAAGAAGAAGAAAAATGTGTGTATCACCAAATCCAGCTCTTCATTTTGTTTACAGCAAGAATGTTTTGCTTTATTCCTCAATTTACAGGGAGGCACATTTATTCTTTGGTAAAATGGTCTATTCCATGAAACTTCTTTTGCTTGTTAAAGTGACTCTTGAACTCTGCCAGTTAAGTCACTATGCCTGTGTAAATCATAAAAATTTTAAGTATGTGATTATAGTTTAATACAACTTCTTAAAATAAGACAGTATGTCAGCCCAGCTTATTTCTTCCTTTATTTCTCTGGTATAAAAATGTATTTAGCATACTGCCTTGTACATTATGGAACTTAAAGTAAGAAGTATGCTTCTTAAATGAACAAGATTTAAAATCATAAAGAAAATTTTCTTACAATATAATTTATAAAACCCAGTAATTTCTCATACCAGTTCTTATTGCTAATTTACAAAGAAAGAAATAAAACAATTTGAGTTTCTACTCAAAAGACAAATGCTTGCCCTCTAACGCTTGGGTCTTGCTTGCTAGGGGTGATATATGGCTTTAATGTGGATGCAAGCAAGGCTATCCAGCAATCAGCTGCAAAAAAAGGAGTTAAAATTAAACTTCACAAAATCATTTACCATTTCATTGAAGACTTGCAGGAAGAACTGAGCAGCAGATTGCCCCACACTGTGGAAGAACACCCACTAGGTGAGTGTGGACTGTTACTTTCCAGTATTTATGTTGAGTGCTATAAATAGCACCTAAAAGCAAAGTTTAGGAAAATTATTCGCTGTCCCAATACACAGCTTATGTTCTAGAAAAAACGACTGCCATAGGTGAGACTTCATGGCAACCTCATATACATTATTCAGGAATGTCCTGTGTAACATGTTGAGCCTTAGGGGTATAAAGGCAAGTAAGGAGATGAAGAACTTGCCTTCAAGCTACACGTGAAGTTATGGTAGTAAGTGTGACAGATGAACCCTTGATTTTGTCCTGAGATTGGCAGATAAATACCTTGAAAAGAAAACCTTCATTTTGAATAGTCAATATTTTTAAATAGTCTAGCATCTCCTTTGGCCGGATTAAAGGCCAACTTTAAAGACAAAAAAATGAAGTATTAGGCCCATTTACCACTAAATATATACAAAGATAGTCTCATTTAAAACCGCAGAACAAGGGCTGGAACAATGGCTCAGCAGTTAAGAGCACACTGGCTGCCTATGCAGAGGACCTGAGTTTGATTCCCATGGCAGCTAGTAATTGTCCCTGACTCCAGTTCCAGGGGATCCAAAACCCTCTTCTGATCTTTTCAGGCATTGCATGACACGGGTGCACTTACATACATACAGGCAACACACTCACACACATGAATTAAAAACTACAGAACAGTGATCAACTAAGAAAGTAACAACTATACTGTGTTATCTAATCCAGTTTATATTCAAATTTTGTCTGTGGTCCCCACAATGTACTATTTTGTTTTTAGACAGGGTATCATGTAACCCAGGCTCTCCTTCTAGCTTGCTTTCTGTTGTTATGATTAAACACTATGACCAAAACCAACATGGGGTTTATTTCATCTTATAACTTCCAGGTCACAATCGCATCTCTGTAGGAAGTCAAGGCAGGAACTGAAGCACAGACCACAGAGAGTAGCGTTTACTGTCTTGCTAAGCTAGCTTATACAGCTCAGGTCCACCTGCCCAGGGATGTCACTGCCCACATCAACCAGCAGTTAGGGAATGCCTCACAGACTTGACTACAGGCCAGATTGATCAGGGTCTCACTACATGCTGGCCATCGGCCTTAAGTTGACGAAAACCAGCAGTCAACTTTATATAACTATGACCTTGAAATTCTGATCCTCTTGCTTCCATCTCCCAAGTGCTGAGATTACAGGTGTGCACCACGATTTCTGGTCCCCACGATGTTTGTAGCTGTCATCTCTTTTTAATCTATTCTTTTTGGCTTTTATTATTTTTGAGGCATGTAGTTCAGCTAATTCATATACCTTGAGTTTGTTTTCCTTCTGAGATCTAGTTTTACAATTTTGGATGATCTACATTTAGTTTAGGCTTTTCTGGTCTGCTGAACACAATCACAGTATACAAGAAATTTTATTGTTTTTGTACCAAGAGCAATTTGGAAAAGTCAAGTGAGTGTCTAGAAGTGAACAGACACACCAGAATACCACTAACAAGTTAACATCATCAGTCAGGCAACACTTTGGAGGTTAATAATTATGGTGTGTGCTATTACTAGCTTTGTTCTCAAATTAGTTCTGTTCAGCAGATACAGAAATACTGATTTAATTTAAAGAGAACCCAGGTAATGACATAAGGTCTGCTTTAGAAAATGCATCAGGTTTTCACCTATTTTTCTAATTATTGATCAGGAAATTAAAGTTAGTGTCAAAGCAGAAACCAGGATTTCTAGTTTGGAATTTGTTACTAATTTTCACTACAGAATGACAAGCATGTATTTCTTAGATTCATTAGTGTTTTGCTCTCTTCCTCAAGGGGAGGCATCTGTATTAGCTACCTTCTCTGTAACAGAAGGGAAGAAAAAAGTTCCTGTGGCTGGCTGCAGAGTTCAAAAGGGACAGCTAGAAAAACAGAGAAAGTTTAAATTAATCCGAAATGGACATATTCTGTGGAAAGGTAAGCATTATCAGAATCTATATGGCACATCCAGTCACCAAATCTTGATTGTATAGCCATCCAAAGTCTATTCATCTTCTTCACTTACATGACTCTAACATGCCATTTTTCTTTTTTTTGGACTCCCTGTAACTTGTTACATAGACCAGGCTGGCCTCTACCTCTGCGGTGCTGGGATTAAAGGCGTGCACAACCACACATGGCACCTTATTCCATTTCTGACAGAAGTTGATGGGCTCCTTCCAGTTAGTTTTTGATGACTCTCTGGGATTTAAGTCATTTTTTCTAAGCTTTTTAAGTTGCCTCCATATTTTCTTCTCTTCTCTACACTTAAATTACATTCCTATCAGTCTATCCTTTTGCAACTTATCTTCTTTTTTGCTGGCAGTCTCTTCCATAACTGGGGGCTTAACCAAAGGTCCCATACAACACACATTAAACAACTTCCTGAGGTTTATTCTCCATACCTGCCTGTCATCTTTATGTTGATTTTTTCACTGCAGAACCCCAAATCTGCAATTTTAGACTATCTTTAAAATGGGAGATTTCAAGTTAAGTTTTTGTAAACATTTTTTGGGTTTGCCTGGTATTCTTATTTGATGGGGGAGGGGGTAGCAAAATTGTAGGTAAAGCCTTACCACACAAGCCTGGCAACTTGAGTTCCATTTCTGGAACTCTCATGAAGGCAGGATTCCAGTTGTTCTCTGGCCTCCTCATATGCATGGCACACAATAAAAATTAACGTGACACGGCTGAAAATTTTTTAAGAATTTCAAACACTAAACTATTTACCATTTAGGAGACACTTATTTGACTATATTAACAATGTTTCTCTTTTCTTTTTTTTCTAAAGGCTCATTAACCTCACTGAAACACCATAAAGATGACATTTCAGTTATCAAAACTGGAATGGATTGTGGTCTTAGTATAGATGAAGAAAAAGTAGAATTTAAAATAGGAGATGAAATTGTTTGTTATGAAGAAAAGGAATTTCCAACTAAGACTTCTTGGGATCCAGGGTTCTAAAATTACATTAAAACGGTAACTACATGTCTGGTTTCTTTTTCTTATTTTACAAGACAGGGTTTTGCTATTTACCCCACTATTTGCTAGTAGTGGTGATAACCTCCTGCCAGCCTCCCAAGAGCTTAAATTATAAGCACACACCATCGCACCTGCTTCCTTTCTTATACAGCACATAGCTTTGCTTTACTGAAGGTAAAAATTCACCAATGAACATCTCAAAACGTTAACTCCCAAGTTCATGTGTTACATTGACAGGCAGAGTATTTCTTTGTACTCCAGACATTATCTTTCTTAGGATTTAGGGTGTTTTTTGTGGCTGTGAGGATTAAAAGGCCTTGCCCATGCTAGACACTTTACCAGGACACATTTTTGAATTGGCACCTTGAGTTGAATTCATCTTTTTGTGTATATATTTTTTTAGACAGGGTTTTCAGGAACTCCAGCTGGCCTGGAACGATGCAGACCAGGCTTACCTTAAGAGATCTGACTCTTCTGGGATTAAAGGCATGTACCACACACCTGGTGTCAGTCTTGTAAGGTAATAGAGCGACCAATGTAAGACACTTCACCTGTAAGGCACAGGACATTTCCTCAAAGAATTCTGACCCAAGTGCCTAAAATGCTGGTCATAGTATAAACTGGGCATTAAATATGTTATCTTCCCCTGCCTTTCCCATGCAGCTTGCACTTCCTAGGAGATATCCAGAATCACTAGGTCCCACATTCTAAAAAAAGATCACACAGTGGCAGGAACCCATCAGAGGACTCGGAAATCATGTAACCAATCTGATACCTCAAAAATATTCTTTAAAGTGGGGCACATCAGTACACACCTTTAATCCCAACATTTGGGAGGCAGAAGCAAGCAGATCAAGTTTGAGGTCAGCCAGGACTGCACAATGAACTCTTTCTTTCCTTACCCCCAAACCCTCAACATCGACGAAAAAATGCCTCGGTCTTTAAATGTGCAATAAAACTCAAATGTCAGTTCCTATGTTTTTATTAACTCATACACAATTATTTATCTTCTGGTTTGTTGAAGCAGTAAGTCAGACAGCACTTGCCACAGTAATGTCTGTCAAAGTGGCTGGCCATGAAAACTCCAGCCCCACACTCATCAGAAGGGCACTCGCGACGAAGGCGACTAATTTTGCCATTTTCATCCACCTGAAAAGTACAAACTTATTTTAAGACAATTTTACAAAACATAATTCTGATGTCTGATTTATGTGACTCAAATATTCAACCTTTTAAACCCTACAGTAGTTTTTTTATTGAAAATGAAGACACCCCAAATTATCACCCATTATAACAGTTAAAAAAGCCTTGGCACAAAATCCAGTTTTGCCAGTGGCAGATGACTGCCTAAATCAAGACCTTAAATTCAGCAAAATGCAGATATTATTTTAGCTCATTTAAATACCAAGCAAGGGAGAAAAAACCCTAGAAGCACTGTAATTCTCATTTCCACAAACGCCTGGTTTAAAAATTAAAGCATTTTACTTCTGTTCTATAAGTCTTCTGAAACTGGCTCACCTTATAGTATTTCAGGACAGCCAACTTCACCTTCTTTCTCTTATGCTTATTCTTCTTGGGAGTGGTGTAAGACTTCTTCTTCCTTTTCTTAGCACCACCACGGAGTCTCAACACAAGATGAAGGGTAGACTCCTGTTAATGAACAGTTTGAAGGCTTTTATTGCAGCATTAGCAACAGACAACCAAAAAGCTAGGTGTGGTAGTGGCACCCACCCGCAGGAATGGGTCAGCCAAGTATCATGCATTTTAAAACCATTTTAAAACAATGCTCCTTGGGACTCTAATGCTATGCTATCGTCCCTATTTTTGCATGCCAAGACTTCCAAAATAAGACTCATTTGGAAGGAGCTAAGTTCCCTCAAACAAACCTTTTGAATGTTGTAGTCGGACAAAGTTCGGCCATCCTCCAACTGCTTACCAGCAAAGATCAGCCTTTGCTGATCAGGAGGAATTCCTAGTTGAAAGGGAAAATACTGGGTTAGCAGAACAAGGTGTATGTCTTAGGTACGTTTTTCTTAACGTTTGTATATTTAACACATTTAACATGTTAATAGTCTTTGTAAATTAGTAAAGAGGGACAGAAAATAGACACGAAGTCTTGAAGGGATTTCAACCTACTACATACACAGCCTGACTCCATGCTCACAAATGTCATACCAATCTGACCCTCTACCCTACAAAGAACAAAATATGCCTAGTTCATACAAGTTAAAACAAGTTTACTTGCCTTCCTTATCCTGGATCTTGGCTTTTACATTTTCTATAGTGTCCGAGGGTTCAACCTGTGAGTTTTAAAATATGGTTCGTTGGTTACGTGCTAAGCCACAACACTCATTTACTAAACTTTTTGGGGGCTGAAACCCACAATAAAGCTGACCGAGGGGTCAACCTCCCGGGCCTGCTCCCGCCACGCGCTCCAGCCCGCCGGGGGGTAGGCCCGAGCTGTAGGCGCTGGTCGGCCACCTAGCCTCCGTTCAGGGATGTTTCAGAACTCAAATTCAGAAACGTGTTCTATGGCTGGGAAGGCGGCACCAAGGAGCTACTCCGGGCCTCGGCTTCCTCACGGCCCTTACCTCGAGCGTGATGGTCTTCCCCGTAAGGGTCTTCACGAAAATCTGCATCCTGGCCGGGGTTCCACCTGCACTCTGGGAAAAGAAACGGATTAGACCTGGGAACACGGAAGAAACGGAAACGAACAATACATGGAGCGGTTGGCCAGACTCGCCCCAGAGCACACACTCACCGCAGATGGCGGATCGGAAAGGAAGAGCCGCCGCGAGCCCACGGGGTTTCCCGGTCGAAGGGTCCGCCTCTTAGGCGGCCACGCATACGCCTGCGCGCTGCGACTGCGGCGGTCCAACGCAGTGCCAGACTAAGAAAGGAGCTTCATTTTTCCACTCATTCTTTCTCACTCTGACCCTCAGAATGCCCTAAAATGATGTGCCCAACTTAAAAATGTTTTAACAGGCTTCTCTCATACAGTCGATGTTGCTAAGAGGGGCTTTACAAGGGGGAAGCTGAGATTGAGAGAAAGGAGGAAATGCAAGTGTCTTCTGGGAATTGTAGTTTTTCATTGCTTTCTTCTTACTAGGACTACTTGTCCCAAGATGCAGTTCCATGCTTCCCGGTTACATAGTTACGGTCTCTAAACTCTGGAGCTGGTGTTAGAGGAAAGGGTTGCAGGTGAGGACCTGGGAGTGAGGCAGAGTAATGGTTTCTGGGAGGGTGCGACCTCGCTGGGAATCACAGGAAGAAAAGGTTTGAAGGTAGGAAAGGGGCCTGCGAGTGCCATTTCCCGATTATAGCGGACCACTATCCCTTGGACACTGTAGGCCTCCAAAAGAAGGGCACCTTGTGACAGCTGGACAATGGACAAGCCTCAAATGTCCCAAGGGGTTTGGACCTTTCTTCGCTAGTAGCCCCCTCCCTGCCCTCAGCTCCTCGGTTTCTTCTAGGAAGCTTCTGAGCCCGGTGTGCTGCCCTGTAGTGTGAGAAGCTTTAATATGTCGAAAATCTCAGGAGTCTTGGAAATTTGAAAATAGAGCCCCAGGGCGTGGTGGCACATGCCTTTAATCCCAGAACTCAGGAGGCAGAGGCAGGCGGATCTCTGAGTCAGAGACCAGCCTGGTATACATAGCGAGTTCCAGGTCAGCTAGGGCTACAGGGAGACCCTGTCTCAGAAAGACAAAAAAATAAATAAATAAAATAGAGCCCAATGGGAAAGAAACCTGCGTGGAGAGTGTTCGTTCTAGGTGAAATTTTTGGAGCATGTGTAAGGTGCTCCTCTGCGAGACAGGCCAACTAGAAGCAGGGTGTGCCTTTTCCCTGTCCATTGTCCAGTTAACAAACCCTTTCTAATGTACATTCTGTGTCTTTCTTCTATCCCTAGATTTAGGTTTCCATCGTTTTTTATAAAGGACATCGGTATCTTCCTTTTAACATGTCTTTTCTCCTTTATAATCCACTTCCTCTTGCCTCCAAAGTATACATTTTGAAAAGTAAACAATGGGCTGAGAGATAGCTCAGTAGGTAAGTGTTTTCTATGCAAGAATGAAAGAATGAGGACCTGAATTGGATCTCCAGCACTCACCAAAAAAGGAGGTGGGGGTGAGGCAGGTGTGGCTATCTATGCATGTGTAACCCAGGTGGGCAGGTAGAAACAGGATGCTCCCTGGAGCTCATTCGATAGCCCACCTAGCCGAATCCTTGTGTTCAGGGCTGAAAAAATAAGACAGGGGACTAAAGAGATGGCTCAGTAGTTAAGAACACTTGCTGCTCTTCCAGAGGACCCAAGTTTGGTTCCCAGCAACCATGTGGGTGGCTCATAACTGCCTATAACTCCAGCTCCTCAGAATCCTTTGCCCTCTTCTGGCCCCTGGGAGTCTGGCACACTCGTGTGCATACATACCCACAGCCATATTAATTAAATCTTGAAAAATAAATAAGGTAGGACATTATTAATAATGTCAGTTAAGAACAGTTGATGCTAAGAGTGACAAGCTGAGTTCTAACCACATGCCCTCTGACTTCCACACAAGCCCCATGGCGCTGATGCCCAACTAACTAAATGTAATAAGATTTTAAGATTTTTTTGTTGTTATCTTTTTGAAACAGGATCTCCCTGTAGCCCCAGCTGGCCTGGAATTCACTATGTAGACCAGGCTAGCCTCAAACTCACAAAGATGTGCCTGCTTCTGCCTCCCAAATGCTGGTACTAAAGGCATGCGCCACCACACCCTGCTTATTTCCTTTAACTTTTTTTTTTTTTTTTTTTTTTTTTTTTTTTTTTACTGTATTGAGACAGGGTCTTCCTGTAGCCCCAGCTGTCCTGGAACTCACTATGTAGACTAGGCTGGCCTTGAACTCCCAGAGATCTGCCTGCCTCTGCCTCCTGAGTGCTGGATTTAAAGGCATGCACCACCATGCCCCACCTTCCTTTAACTTTTATATTTTACTACTTGCAATGATTTTATTTGTCCTGTTTTACTAGATTGTAAGCTCCAAGGAGTAAAGGACTATATTTTCTTTATCTTTAGCTATAAAATACTGTCTGGGGCTTAACAGATATTCAATAAATGATGGTTGAATTAATAAATAAACAAATTTATTTCCTACTTGAGAAAGCTTTGGGCTGGTCAGATGGCTCAGTGGGTTGAGGTTCTTGCTGCCAATCCTGATGATCTGAGTTTGATCCCAGGGACCTACATGATAGATGGAGAGCATTGACTCCAACAAGTTTTCCTTTATTCTCCACATGTGCGCCATGATAAGTGCACATCCACACTCACAGAGACAGTAAATAAATACCTTTTTTTTCGGTCTTTTTGAGACAGGGTCTCCCTGTAGCCCCAGCTGTCCTGGAACTCACTATGAAGACCAGGCTGGCCTTGAACTCACTGCCTCTGCTTCCCAAATGCTGGGATTAAAGGTGCGCACCACCACGCCTGGCTATAAATACCATTTTTAAAAACTAAAAAACTTCTTATTGTTTATGACCTTGTTGGAACTCCTTAATGTCCTCTTGTAAACTTTACCAACTCATTAGCATATGGATAAATTTGGTCTTTTAAACTTTAAAATTATTCTGTGTCTCCTGTATGTGGTACTTAAAATTTGTATATGTTATTTCAGGTAACCGGATATCAATTATATTGCCAAAACATCATAAAAATGGTTTAAACATTTACTCAAGTCAGCTTTGTTTATAATAGTGAAAATGTCAATGGTTAAATAAATTATGGAATGTCACCATGCAACACGGTACAATCTTTAGAGGTAATCTTTTTCAATTTTTTTATTCCTTGGCAGTTTCATGCTTGTACATAATGAATTGTAGTCCTCTCACCCCCATTACCCTGTCCTCCCCTTCTTCCTGCTAAAACCCTAATTCCCAACAGATCTCTTTCTTACTTTCATGTCTTATGTGTGTGTGTGACCCACTGAGTATATTTTATCTCATTTCATTTCATTTAGAGACAGGGTCTCACTATGCATTCCTGGCTAGCTTGGAACTCACTATATAGACCAGAACTCCTGCCTCTGCCTCCTAAGTGCAGTGATTAAAGGCATCCTCCGCCAAGCCCAGGCCGCAAGTCATGATTTTTTTATTAATTTTATTTTATGTGTATTGCCTGTATGTGTGTAGGTGCTCCCTTGCTGTACAGTGCCACTGGAGGTCAGAAGAAAGCATTGGATCCCCTGGAACTGGAGTTAGAGATGATTGTTAGCTGCCATGTGGTGCTGGGAATTGAACCCAGATCCCCTGCAAGAGCAGTCAGTACTCTCTAACCTTTGAGCCATCTCTCCAGCCCATGGTTTCTAAAAAAAATAATTTTTTTTGAGACAGGGTCTCCCTGTAGCCCCAGCTGTCCTGGATTCATTATGGAGACCAGGCTGATCTTGAACTCAGAGAGATCCACCTGCCTCTGCCTCCCGAGTGCTGGGATTAAAGGCGTGCGCCACCACACCTGACTTTAAAAAAATATTTTTCCTTGTTTCCTTTTGTCCCACATCCTATCATTTGTTGTTGATTTTTGGTTTGTTTAATGATAGCCATTCTCATAGGGGTGAGATGGAATCTCAGTGTAATTTTGATTGTCATTTCCCTGATGGCTAAAGATGTTAAGTGTTTTTTGTATATCTATTTGGCCATCTGTAGGAAGTCATTTTTTTAAGGCTTTTTAGCAACATGAGGAAGTGTTTTTAATATTAAGTGAAAAAATAGAAATACAGTTGAATATAGAGTTTGACCCTAATTTTTGTAATTGTAAAGATTAGAAGGAAATGTACCAAAATATTAAATAGTGATTTTCTTTGGGTATTGGGATCTTGGGTAATTCTGTTTTCCTCACTAATTGCCTTTGATTTCTGTTTACAAAGTTTTATATATGAATATATATTTCTGTAAATGGAGGAAAATGTTTTGTCTTACCAGACATCTTCAGACAAGCCAAGGATTCTGTCTCAAGCTAAAGTGGATAGATATTAAGACCCAACTTCTGTATCCAACTTCAACTGGGTATTGATTCTTTGAAAAAGCAATGTTCTGAAGTAGACTGAAAACCATACTCTGAAAGAAACCCTTACTTTTGACATCATTAATGGATATTTTATTTTCTTTGGGTTCTTTGTGGTGCTAGAGGTTGAACCCAGGCAGATTCAAGGTTGAACCAGGCAGAGTCAAGGCACGCACTTTATCACTGACTTACGTCCTTGGCACTGATGCATGGATTTCTAACAGAAGTCTTTTTGAGACAGGGTCTCACTGTAGCCCCAGCTTGCCTGGGATTCGCTATGTAGACCAGCTGGCCTGGAGCTCAAAGAAATTCACCTGCCTCTGCCTCCTGAGTTCTGGGATTACAGGCATGCACCACCACACCCAGCATCTTCTTACTTTTTAATTAGTACTTTAACTTTAAGGTGGGAATTATGGGGGCTGGAGAGATGGTTCCGTGGTTAAGACCATTGTCTGCTCATGCAGAGTGCCCTGGTTCGATTCCCAGTACTCACATAGTGGCTAACAATATGCTGTAACTCCATTTCCAGTGGGATTTGACCCCCCCATCTTCTGACTTCTGCAGGCACTGCACTACATGGGTGCACTTACATGCAGGCGATACACTCATACACATAAAATAAAAATAAATAATTTTAAAACTTTTTAAAAAGAATGAGAATTACAGAACTGGAGAGATGGCTCAGCTGTGAGTGCTGGCTGCTCTTTCAGAGGACCTGAGTTGGGTTCTCAGCCTTCACATGGCAGCCAATTATCTGTAACTCCAGCTCCAGGGGATTCAACACCCTCTTCTGGTCTCCACTGACATTGCACACTTGGTAACTTAGATTCAGGGAAAACACTCATGAAAACACATGAAATAAAAATAAAATTAAAAAAGAATAAGAATTAGCAGGGTGTGGTGGCACACTCCCTAATCCCAGCACTCAGGAGGCAGAGGCAGGCGGATCTCTGTGAGTTCAAGGCCAGCTTGGTCTACATAGTGAGTTCTAGGACAGCTGGGAGTACAGGGAGACCCTGTCTCAAAAAAAGACCGAAAAAAAAAGAACAACAATTATAATAAAATTTATCATAAAATTAGTTATTTAGCCAGGCATGGTGGTACATGCTTATAATCCTAACACTTGTAAGGTGGAGTCAGGAAAATGAGTTCAAGGTCACTCTCAGCTACATACGGAGTTTAAGGTCAACCTGTATTAATCAAAGCAAAAAACTAAACAAAAAAGCCACTCACCCTAATTATTTCTAACTATTGTGTGATGGGTGACAATGACAAGGCCAGGCGGGCACTATGGTAGAGAAGTATTTGGCCTTGTTTATACCATCAAGAAACATGCACAAGCCAAGAGTGGTGGTGCACGCCTGTAATCCCAGCACTCAGGAGGCAGAGGCAGAGGCAGGTGGATTTCTGTGAGTGTGAGGCCAGCCTGGTCTACATAGCAAGTTCCAGGACAGTTGGGGTTACAGGGAGATCCTGTCCAAAAAAGACAAAAGAAGAAGAAGAAGAAGAAGAAGAAGAAGAGGAGGAGGAGGAGGAGGAAGGGGAGGGGGAGGGGGAGGAGGAAGAAGAAAGAAGAAGAAGAAGCAGTTGCTTATACACAGGCTAGGCATGGTGGTATATGCCTCTAATTCCAGCATTCCAGAGGCAGAGGCAGGTGGGGCTCCGTAACTCCAGTTCCGAAGAACCTGACACCCTCTTCTGATCTCTGTGGGCATTGGAGAACACAGATGCACTTATGTACGTACAGGCAATACACTCATGCACATAAAATAAATTTTTTTTTTAATTTAAAGGGGGAAAGGATTTGGCACCATTCTGGGAAGCAGGGAACAGGGAGCAGGTGAGTCAGCCTGCCTTGGACCCCGTGGGGTGCCGGGAGACCTCATGAGGACCCTGTGGACCCCTCACGGAACTCTGTGGGTAACCATCAATGGAAGCCCAATAGACAGATGGCTCAATGAAGGTGCTACAGATGAAAGGTCGAAGCAGGGTGGTATAGCCTAAAAACCTTTAGGACTCTAAAGAGTACACTGCAAAGAACGCTGCATAGATGGGAAAAGACTGAGGAAAAACAGACAATTAAAATGTTTCATGTTCTATTTTAAGCTAAATGTACCCTGAGCAGGTACTAAAGAAAATGACAAAAAGGAAGAGTTTTAGTTAAATGACTAGCCAGGCCTGCTTTATATGCTTCCTCCAAATCTCTTAGCTAGAAATAACTTTAGAAACTTGGAGACAGTTCAGCTAAGACAACAGACTATCCATTTGGGAAAAAAAATAAAGACTACTACACACTGTGCTCAAACCAAATTTCATAAAACTATTATCTAAATGTAATATAGTTATGCAAGTATTAGAGACTATTGGACTTTTTTTTTTTTTTTTGGTATTTTTTGAGACAGGGTCTCCCTGTAGCCCCAGCTGACCTGGAACTCAACTATGTAGACCAGGCTGGCTTTGAACTCCCAGAGATCCAGCTGCCTCTGCTGGGATTAAAGGCGTGTGCCACCATGCTCGGCCATGGAATTTTTTATCATCTGAAATAAGTCTTTCCTAAGGAACCTAAAGCTCATAGAAAATGGCTGACATTCATAAATGAATAAAGTGAAACATACCATAAAAAAAAAATTAAAGGGGTAGGGAGTATACTTCAATGGTAGGGTGCTTACTTAGCATATGCAAGGCCCCAAGTTTGATTCCCCAGCACTGCAAAAAATAAGTTAAAAAGGAAGTATTGAGTTAAACATAAGAAGCCATCAATTAAATGATACATACAAAGGAGTCTGGTTAGTAAAGGAAAAGGGTTTTCCAAATTATTATCATGTGTGTTATATTATTATCATTATGATATGTGTTTATTGGGGACCTACATGCCATGGCATACTTATGGAGGCCAGAGGACAGCTCTGTATAGCATTTCTCTCCTTCCACCTTTACACGGGTTCTAGGGCTCAAACCGAGGTCATTAGACTTTCATGGAAGTGCTTTACCTGCTGAGCCATCTGGCTAGCCCCAGGGGAAGAATTCTTAATTGACTGGTACTTGATATTGATATTCCAGAGGTCTCTCCTATGACACCAGAATAACATGGATATTTTAGTTCACTGGTAGTGAAATAAATAGTTTATTTACCTCAGGGCTGGAGAGATGGCTCAGTGTTTAAAAAACAGTGATTAAAAATTCTTTCTGCTCCTCCAGAGGACCTGGGTTTGATTCCCAGCACCCATATCAGGCAGTTCAAAACTGCCTGTAACTCCAGTTCCAAGGACTCTGACACCCTCTTCTGGCTCTGCAGCACCAGTACACACATGTGCACAAACATTGAATCAGGCACACACACACATACACATAAAATAAATCTTGGGGCTGGAGAGATGGTTTAAGAGCACTGACTGCTCTTGCAGAGGACATGGATTTGGTTCCCAGCACAATATGGTGGCTAACAACCATCCCTAACTCCGGTTCCAGGGAATCCGACACCCCCTTCTGACCTCTGGGGGCATTGCATGATGTGGGTGTTCTTGCATGCAGGCAATACAGCACATAAAAATAGAAAACAAATATTTGGCTTAATATATTTAGGTTTTTAGATTAACTCATGGCCATTTTTTCTTTCAGGTTCACCAAAGTTTTGGCTTTGTTACAAAAGGAGGTCAAGATTTAATTTTTCTCTGGTGAACAAGCTTACAGATTAGGATTTATGTCAGTCCAAGAAATGAAGAAACATGCAGTCCTCCCTCCAATCATTAGTAGAAGTGACAAGGAGTTTTTGGAAAGTATTCGAAGATACATAATTACAGAGATGGAAAGAGTGGGCTGCAACGAGGAGGGACCTGCCGATGAGTATTTCATCATATACCGAAATGTTTTCAATAAGGTACCACAATGCTCTTAAGACAAGGAAGTTTCCATGAGGATGTAATGACCACCTCAGTAACACTGCTTGACTGACCACATTCCATTTGTCCATTTTGAGAAATTAATGCATCCAACTAGTGAAAATGGGATGAATAGGGAAAATGCAATGCTGTGTTTATGTCTTCTGACTGCTAGTGAGAGTATCAGTTACTTTAGCTTAGCAAGCTGTTTTTTAATCAGCTTAACTGTGCCCTCTCATAACCATTTTGACCTTTCTATGGGAAGGTACTATGTGAAGGAGTTGGGCCGTGAACAAGAACCCAGTAGTTTCTTGTTTTGGGTTTTGTTTGTGGTGTTACCAAACCTTGATTTAGATGTGATGCAGCATATTAGATTGAGATCTCTTGAGCCAGGTGCAGTGGCATATGCAGGTACTAGATGCTAGGGGGGCTGAGGCTGGAAAGTCCCTTGAGATTAAGAGTTGGAGGCCACCACTGGCAACATTGTGAGACGTCCAAGTTCAAAATCAATCAGAAGTTTAATATAAAAATTTTGAGACCATCTGGGTGTGGTGGCATATGCCTTTAATTCCAGCACTCAGGAGGCAGTGGCAGGTAGATCTCTGTGAAAATGAGGCCAGTCTGGTCTACATTGTGAGTTCCTGGCCAAGTGGGGCTACGTAGGGAGACCCTGTCTCAGAAAGTGGAAAAAAAAATTTTTTTTTGAGACCTCTTAGAAGTGGATGAGGGGTTTGATTGATCTTAACACTGGAAATAATAGAGCCAGATTAGAAAATGTTATAGCTTTATACAGCATGTTTGATTGCATTCTTTACAATTTTAGAAATAACTGGCTCCTTAGGAGCAACTGTAGTATGTTCATTGTTCATTTTTGTCTAGCATTATCTTTGCCATACCTTGGAAGATGCCCAGACAGCAAAGTAAGTGAAATCATCATCCTTTCCTCTCTGTGGAGGAAGTACTTATCTTAAGACAGTTGGTTCCTCTCAAAGTAAAACAGCTGCAGGCAAAATAGGAATTCTGACTTACTATGAAGCCCTGGCCAAGGTGGAACTCTGTGTAGACGAGTCTGAGCTTGAACTCAGAGAGCTGCCGGTCTCTGCCTCTCATGTGCCACCACGCCCAGCAGAATTCAGCCTTTTGGTTAATTTTTAGACATTACAATGAGTTTTGTTTTTCTCTAAATTAACCTAGTCCTGTTCCCATCCTACTCCCCCCCTCCCCCACCAGGATCTTTGGGTGGTTAATGGGTTGCTGAGGGAAGGAGAGACATTTCCTTCAATGGTGTAGCCTCTGGTAAATTACCTTTGCAGCCCTTATTAAACTCTTGAAGTCACCAAAAACAAAACAACCAGAATGAAAGGAGGAGGGGAGCTAGTTGAGAAGAGGAAGGAGATTAAAACTAAAAATACCTGCAAGAAGATGTCATAATGAAGCTGTTATCCGTGATTAATATAGACTAATAAAAAAAATTAAAGCCTAGTGTCTCACTCTAAGGAAAAGTAAGTAAGCACAGGGGAGGATGGAGAGTTGGCTCAATGATTAAGAGTACTAGCTGTCCTTACAGAGGACCTGGGTTCAGTTCCTAGCACCCGCATGGTGGCTAACAACTGTTTGTAACTCCAGTTTCAGGGATCTGACCCTCTCTTCTGACCTCCGGAGGCATTGTGCACATAGATGCAACTATATGCATGCAGGCTAAAGACTCACACATGAAATTAATTAATTAATTTTTAAAAAGTAAGCATGGGCTGGGAATGTAGCTCAGTTGGTAGAGCCCTTGCCTAGCATGCACAAGGCTCTAGGTTCCATCCTCAGCACCACATAGTTTGAACCTGGCATGGTGGCACATACTGGGAGGTAAAGGCAGGTTGATCAGAAGTTCAAAGGTCATCCTCAGCTGTGTAGTGAGTTGAAGGCCATCTTAGGATATATGAGACCAAAGAAAAAGTAATGAAAAAGTGCAGAGTGTAGGGATATATATCTACCAAAGAAATAAAGGAAAGTGATGTATATGTGCTAGTTTTAATTGTCAACTTGACATAATATAGAATCATGTGGAGAGAGGGTCTCAATATATAATTGTCTAAATTAGGTCGGCCTGTGGGCAAGCTTGTGAGAAAATTTTTATGTGTATGAGTGTTTACATGCATATATGTAAGTGCACTCATACCTGCAGTGCCCATGAGGTCAGGAGAGGGTGTTGGATCCCTTGGAACTGGAGTTATGACCATTGTTAGCTGCCATGTGGGTGCTGGGAAACAAACCCAGGTCCTCTGCAAGAGCAGCTCCAACCTGTGTGAGAATTTGTTAACTGGGTCAGTTGAGGTGGAAAGACCCACATGATGTGGCCATCACTGCCTCATAAGATGGGCCTTGAACTGTGGAAGAGTGAAGAAAGCAAGGTGAGCACCAAGGCATGCACGCACTCATTCTTTCTGTTCTTGACCATCATGTGACTAGCTGCTTCAAGTTCCTACAACCTGTGCCTTCCTCAGAGATGGACTGTAACCTTGAACTGTGAGCTAACTTAAACCTTTTCTCAGGGTGTTTTATCACAGCAACAGGAAACGAATCTAGGATGATATGTATAATAGTAGAAGGTAGGAAAAGAATCTTTTCTTCTAAATCATTCAAGAGAACAACCCTATCTTTTAGAATTGGTACATTTAGTATATACCTTCATTTTATATGTTGTTGTGATGTTGCTGTTGGTCTTTTGCTTGTTAGGGAATGTATTGGGTGAATATTTACATACAGACAGTATCTTGAATAGGTTTCATAACTACCAAGTCATGCTGAGCCTCTGCATTTGTGAAATCAGCAAATGAAAATTATGTCACTGTGACTTGCTTATCTTTGCATGTCTGAATGCTAACTAAGACTTACTCTTGCTGGAGATATCTGCTTTACATTAGTATAATTATAGTGAAGTCATTTTGAAGTTGGTGTTGGCATATTTAATTCTAAGAGGAAACATCTAGATTAAATTTAAAACCTATATCTACATTCCTTTGTTCTCTCCCCTCTAAGAGTTTGATTTGAACTCCTTGTACATTGTGTAAGGGTAAAGTTATTTGTATATTGTAAAGAATTCTTTAGGACTGAGAGGTGATCTGAAATGGAAATCATTTGAAATCATTCGATACTTTAGAAGTAAAACAAGGACTTCTTGAAACTTGTTTTTCATTTTCTGAAGTCTCATTCATTTTCATTTAATGATTGCAGAACCAGGAAGGAAATACCGTAAAAGAATTAAGTGAGCTAACTGAGAGAAAAAGGAATGATGGGAGACTGTAGTGACAGGAAGAACCAAGTCAGGGTGCTGTTAAAGCATGGGGCTCTAGATTGTTAGAGTGCTCAGAATTTTCAAGGAAAGCTGTGAAAAGGTTTGAGGGTAAAAGTTCCCAAATTTTAAAATATTTTGTGGGTAAGGTGGAATTTCCAGCTGTGTACCTATGGTATGCCAGTTTTGCATCTTCTGTGTTTTCGATAAGCTACTCATTAGTATTCTCTTGAAATTGGTTTCTTCCAACTCACTGACGCACGTTGAGCATGGTATCACTATGATGGTATTAGCTACCCACTGGAATATGGAGTTATCTTGGAGCACTCCAAAGGACATATGAAGTAGGAAAAGCAGCAGGTGCTTCATGTGGAAAGCGTCTCCTCATTAAAGGTTCCGGTGCGGGTGGATAGCTAGTGTGGGTATGGCAAAAAGAGAATAGAGCATCTCCTCAAATATATTTTCCTATACTCGCCACAGATTAACAATCTCTTTATATCACTTTTGATGAACTGGATGTCTTCCTGGGTAACTTTTTCTAGTACTGCTTAGCTAAAGAAAACTAGTGGAGGATACTACACTCAAGAAATACAGCAGAGATAGAAAGCATAATCTCAGATTCCCAAGAAAATTTTGGATTGAGGACTCTTTATACATATATCATCAGTCCCTTCGGAAATCCTCATGAACAAACATAAATTACAATTTTTCTTTTTTCTTTTTCTTGGTCTTTTTGAGACAGGGTCTCCTTGTAGCCCCAGCTACAAGGCTGGCCTTGAACTCACAGAGACCTGCCTGCCTCTGCCTCCCGAGTGCTGGGATTAAAGGAATGCACCACCACACCTGGCCTATAATTTTTCTGTTCTTTTTTAAACCTATTTAAACTTTTTTGATGATTCATTTTTGTGTGAATAATGCATCTACAACATTAAGAAAAAATACTACTGGGGCTGGAGAGATGGCTCAGTGGTTAAGAGCACTGGCTGCTCTTGCAGAGGACCTGGGTTCAGTTCCCAGCACCCACATGGCAGCTAACAACCATCTGTAACTCTAGTTCCCGGGGAATTTGATGCTCTCTTCTGACCTCGAGGGTATTGCACAACCTGGGTGCACTTACATACATACAGAAAATACACTCATACACATAAAAAATAATAATAATAAATTAAAAAAATGGAAGAAAGCTGGGTGTGGTGGCATACACCTGTAATCCCAGTACTTGGGAGGCAGAGGCAGGTGGATCTCTGTGAGTTCAAGGCCAACCTGGTATACATAGTGAGTTTCAGAGCAGCTGGGGCTACAGGGAGACCCTGTATCAAAAAGACTTTGCTCCATTGCATATGCATTAGCTTTTCAATATAATTACTAAAATAGATCTCACATCCTCCCTTCATTTAAAGTCCCTGTTAGAATCAGAATATTGTACAACTACAAATAATTTCATAATGGATATAATCAGTCAAAATCACAGAGCTCATTCCATGGGAAAAGGTTGTTTATCAAAGGCCATTATTATTTGTTATTGTTGTTGGTTTCTTTTTGCTTTGTTTTGAGACCAATTCTCCCTGTAGCCCAACCTGGCCTAGAATCTGACCAGGCTAGCCTCTGCCTCCTGAGTACTGGGATTAAAGATGAGCACCACCAGGCCTGGTGCTGTTTTTGATTTTTGTTTTTTGTTTTGTTATAAGACAGGATCCCTCAATAGCCCCAGCTGCCTTGAAACTTGCTGTGTAGACCAGACTCACCCACACTCACAAAGTTCCATCTGCCTCTGCCAATTCAGTGCTGGGATAGAAGTGTGTGTCTGTTGGGGAACCCTGCTGTTAAGGTCGCAATGGAGCTGGGCGCTAAATGGAGGACTCCTTTCTCAGCGGGGCGCTTACTGGCTTGCTCCCGCGGCTCCTGCTCAGCCTGCTTTCTTATGCAACACAGACCCACCTGTCCAGGGGTGGCACCACCCACAGTGGGCTGGGCCCTCCCACATCACTCATCAAGAAGATGCCCTTCAGACATGGCCATAGGCCAGTCCAATAGAGGCAATTCCCCAACTGAGGCTCCCTCAACCCAGGTGTGTCAAGTTGACACTAAAGCTATCCAGCACAATTAGGCACTTGGAACGGATATGCTGGAAAAGCAGGTGAATGAGTTCAGATTTTAAGGTCTCAATGATGCCAGAGAGTAGATTTGGAGGGAGTAAAGGGTATAGAATTTAAAAATCTACAACTACCAGGTGTGGTGGTACACTCCTTTAATCCCAGCACTGGGGACGCAGAGGCAAGCAGATCTCTGTGAGTTCAAGGCCAGCTGGGGCCACAGGGAGACCCTGTCTCAAAAAGATAAAAAAAAAAAAAAATCTACAACTGAGAAATGTAGACCTTGTTGGTTTTTGTTGTTGTTTGTTTTTGAGACAGGGTCTCACTATGCAGTTCTGGCTGGCCTGAAACTCACTATGTAGACCAGGCTGGCCTTGAACTCATAGATATCCACCTGCCTCTGTCTCCCAAGTGCTAAGATTAAAGGTGTGCACCACCATGCCCAGGGACCTGGTATTATTTTAAACTACACCATATGGTATGAATTCATACATACAAAATATAATAAAAATAGCCCTTTTCTCTCTTAAATTTACAATCACAGTATCTACTATAGTGATCCTCAGAGGGCGTAATATATTCAGTGGTTACTGTTTTTAGTGTCTAGTCATGCTGAGTTTGCTTTACATTTTTTTTTCTGTCTTTTTGAAACAGGGTCTCCCTGTAGTCCTAGCTGTCCTGGCACTCACTATGTAGACCAGGCTGGCCTTGAACTCACAGAGATCCGCCTGCCTCTGCCTCCCGAGTGCTGGGATTAAAGGCATGCGCCACCACGCCTGGCTGCTTTACATTTTTTATATTTCTAATTATTAATCATGCTTCACTTAAAATAGTCCACTTGAAAGACTTTTGATTGTTGTGCCTTCTATAAAAAATTCAGTACCATAGACAGAAAAATCATATTTCAGGTAATAGACTATGTTACTGCATACAAATCCATTCTAACTTCAATCAAAAAAGAATACGACGCCTTTATTGAGGTAATAAAGAAAGGCCGAAGAACTGCATTTTATCTTCATGGAAAACTTAAAGTTTTGGCAGCAGAGCCCACAGCTTTGGTCTACCACCAGAAAAGAGCAATCCAACTGGAGGCAAAGTGAGTACATTAGTAACTAGAGGGAGTCAGCATGGTCACCTTTTTGTAATAATCTTTCATTGCAACTGACCCGGTGGTTGTGGTCTTTTTTTCTTTTATTTATTCTCAGTGTTTAGCCTTGAATTCACTATATAACCTAGGCTGGTTGTCCTTGCTCAACATGTTCCTGCCTCAGCCTCCCAAGTGCTAAGATTACTGAATTATATCATGCTTACCTTTAGCGTGATTTACCTTAATTTTTTTTAAAGAAACTCTTTTTTTAAAAAACTTTATTATTTTTATTTTGCATGTATGAGTATGTTGCCTACATGTAAGTGCACCCATGTCGTGCAGTGCCTGCAGAGGTCAGAAGAGGGCATCAAATCCCCAGGAACTGGAGCTATGGATAGTTGTTGGCTGCCATGTGGGTGCTGGGAGTGGAACCCTGGTCCTCTGCAAGAGCAGTCAGTGCTCTTAACCATTGAGTCATCTCTTCAGCCCAATTTACTTTGTTAATTTTTATCTTAAAAATAACAACTTTGGGGGCTGGAGAGATGTCTCGGTGGTTAAGAACACTGGTTTTTCTTGCAGAAGATCCGGGTTCGAATCCCAGCACCCACATGGCAGCTACCAACTGTCCATAACTCCAGTCCCAGGGGATCCAACAGCCTCTTCTGACCTCCATGGGCCTTGCACGACATGGGTGCACTTACGTACATGCAGGCAATACATGCATACACATAAAATAAAAATAAATAAAACTATTAATCTTGTTTGAGAATTTGATGATACCTGTTAGTGTAATGGCTGATACACTATTAGATAATAAAGGCATGTAGTTACTCCAGGCAATTTCCTATGGATGATTGACAGTACAATTTCACAATTCCTACCTGGATTATGGCACTTAATTTTGTGATGCACAAAGGTAAGTAATCTCCTGAAGAGAATAAAGTGCTTTTAAAAATATTTTATTATTTTTATTTTATGTGTTTGAGTGTATTGCCCACAGTGTGTGAGTGCACCTGTGTCGTGCAATGCCACAGAGGTCAGAAGAGGGCTTTGGATTCCCCTGGAACTGGAGTTAAGGACGGTTCATAGCCACCATGTGGGTGCTGGGAATTGAACCCAGGTCCTCTACAAGAGCAGTCAGTGCTCTTAGCTGCTGAGCCATCTCTCCAGCCCTTAATCACAGCCATTAAAGGCTAAGGCTAACAACCAAAAAATAAAGTGCTTTTTAAAGAAAATCTCATTATGTGGCCCTGCTGACCTCAAGCTTACAGCAGTCCTCCCATCTCATCCTCCCAAATGCAAGGATTACAGGTGTCAGCCACCATGCCTGGCTAAAATACTTTTGTAGAGTAGTCTCATGTTTTTAATGTTAACATTTGGCAAATTAAAGACAAATAGAGCATTTTAAGTCATCCTGGAAAATTTTGAAAAGTTTTACTTTCACCACCAGAAACGTGGCTTGGCCACTTGTTGGGACGGACCTTCCTCTTTGGGAAAATTGCCACATAAATTTTTTTTTTTTTAATGTTGTGGCTGGAGAGATGGCTCACCAGTTAAGAGCTCTGGCTACACTTGTAGAGGACCTGGATTTGGTTTCCAACCCCACGTGGCCATTAGCAGCTTCCCATAACTCCAGTTCCAGGGGATCTGATGTCGTCTCTGGTCTGTGTGGGTATTGTACACACATGGTGCACTTACATACATACAAGCAAAACACTCATATACATAAATCAAAAAATGTTGAATCAAAAATTTAAAAAATTTAATCTTAACAAAAGCATCAGAAAGTGGATAAGGTAGAGGCTATTGGGGTGAAATCTGACACAAAACAAAAGATAAACAGCACTAGCCTGGTTGACACAGAGGACACTTATTAAAACTTGCTACATGGGAGGCATGGGAAGGCATGCCTCTCACCCAGCACTTGGCAGTCTGAGACAAGAGTGTCACAAGGCCAGCTTGGGATACAGAGTGAGACCCTGTCACAAACAACAACCCCCTCCCCATAGCAACCCTTTTCTAGGAACCTTAAGTTTCAGTATTGATTATGTGAAGAGGATAAAGCACAAAACTTAGGATCTACTGGCTGTCTACTGGGAAACCCTCCTATATAAAATGATGCTGGTAAATGAACCCATCTTAGTATAGTTGCACTGTGTTGGGGGAGGGATGGACTGCTCTGTACCTGGAACTACATAGAAAATTGTTTTCTGCTCAGCAGACCTCTGATGATTACAAGGCTCACTTTGGGGGTGGTGACATGTTCTAGAATTAAAGAGTAATGATGGTTAAACAACTCTGAGTATACTAAAATTCATTGAATTTCACAGGTCACAAAGGTAAGTTTTTGTTTTGAAATAGGTCTCACTATGTAGCCCTGAGTAGTCTGAAACTCCTAATGTAGACAGGCTGGCCTTGAGCTCACAGAGATCCATTGGTTCCTACCTCCCAAGTGCTGGGATTAAAGGTGTGTGCTACCATGCCTGGCTTCACCCTGCTTCTTGACTATTACTCCCAATTTCCAGCACTGTCTTCAGAATTGAGCCAGTCTTTTTTACTGTTGTAGAAACACATTGCAGTTGTCCCTCATTGCTGTGCCCTCTTTTTTAATTTTTTTTTTTTTTTTGAAACAGGGTCTCATTATGTAGTCCAGGCTGGCCTCGAATTTGCGATTCTCCTATCTCAGGCTCTCAAGGGCTGGCATAACAGGCATGCGCCACTATGCCTACCAGCTATAACCTCTTTTGAATAAAGTCTTTCTTACCATGTTTAACAAATGTCATAAGTAAATTTTCTGTAATAGTACCTAACTCATTTTAATCTGTTATTTCTCTCCTCGGCCAACAAAGCTAGGAAGTAAACTTCAAATAGTACTTAAAAGAAATTTTATGGGCCTGGAGAGATGGCTCAGCGGTTAAGAACATTGACTGCTCTTGCAAAGGACCCGGGTTCGATTCCCAACATTCACATGGTGTCTACAAACCATCCTTAACTCCAGTTACAGGGGAATCCAAAGCCCTCTTCTGACCTCCACAGCATTTCATGACATGGGTGCACTCACATAGATGCAGGCAATATACTTATACACATAATAAAATTTTTAAAAAGATATTTGTAGCCGGGTATGGTGGCGCACGCCTATAGTCCCAGTACTTGGGAGGCAGAGGCAGGTGGAGCTCTGTGAGTTCAAGGCCAGCCTGGTCTACAGGACAGCTGGGGCTACAGGGAGACCCTGCTTCCAAAAGACCCAAAAAAAAAAAAATTGTAACGATCTTTAAAAAAAAAAAGAAATTTTCTAATCTAGGAGCTATTTAGGAAGTTGAGCAAGAAGATGATGATCTTGAAAGACCCTTATTTCTGAAAAAATTAATTTAAATTAATTTTTTAATTTAATTTTTTTTGCTGTCTTTTCCCTAGCTCTAGAATCAAAATCACTGCAGTAGGCTGAGCAGTGGCCTGCAAAGATACCAGATGCTTGTCTCTGGAACCTGTAGTGTTTAATGTTGCCTTATTTAATAAAACGGTCTTTACAGATGGGATTAAATGCTTTTTTTTTTTTTTTTTTTTTTTTGTCTTTTTGAGACAGGGTCCCCCTGTAGCCCTAGCTGGCCTAAACTCTAAATGTAGACCAGGCTGGCCTCAAACTTACCAGATCCACCTGCCTCTACCTCCCCAGTGCTGGGACTGAAGGAGTGTGCCTCCATGCCTGGCCAAATGAAGTCTTTTGAGGTAGGGAGTATGTCCAGGTGTGCCCTAGAAACAACTAAAAGTGTCTTTATAGGAGGGAGACAGAGGAACCTGTGACATGGGCAGTGGAGAAGGCAGTGGAACTTGAGAGACAGAGGTAGAAGTTTGCAGCCCCAAGGGCTGGAGGAGGCAAGGTACATATCTGTTACTTTAAGTCACCAAATTTGTTGTGTTATAATAGCCCCAGCAAAATAATAGTTATTTTTAAAAGCTTTTTCTTTTTGTCTTTTTGAGACGGCCTCCCTGGAGCTCCAGTTGGCCTATAACTCACTATGTAGACCAGGCTGGCCTTGAATTCACAGAGATCTGTCTGTGCCAGTACTTGGGAGGCCAAGAGAGGAGGATCACAAATCCAAGGCCAGAGTTGGCTACATAGTGAGATCCTGTCTCAAAAAAAAAAAGAAAGAAAGAAAAAGCTTTTTAAGTTTCAAAAGTAATTCTTTTTATTTATTATTTTTATTTTATGTGTATGCATGTATTGCCTGCATGTATGCAAGTGCACCTGTGTCTTGCAATGCCCATGGAGGACAGAAGAGGTCATTGCATCCCCTGGAACTAGAGTTACAGACAGTTGTTAGCTGCCATGTGGGTGATGGGATTCGAACCAGGGTCTTCTGCAAGAACAGTCAGTGTTCTTAACCCCTGAGCCATCTCTCCAGCACCTCAAAAGTAATGTTTTACTAAAGGGAATAGACAGTGTTTTGTGGCCAGATTATATCTAATGCTTATGAATTTCCATTGGGATTAATAATCATGATATTAGATTTTATTGATGCTGTGAAAGGAAACTGTTCCTTGTTCTAAACTTCTACCTAGTTCCTAATGGTTCAAAATTATAATTAGATAAAATAAAGCAGCAGTTTAATCTGTTTTACTTTAAATGTTATGGTTAAGTAATTAAATCAGTTGTAATGAACATAAGAAAATCTGTTTTTTCAGAATAAGGATTATTGAAAATAATTCCACAATGATTCAGCTGCAGATAGAACAAATGAAACAGCTGAGGTCAGAGTATGACAGAAAAGAAGTAAAATATTGTGCTTCCTCCAGACACCTTTCAAAACCTATTCCAGGTACTATATTTCATTTAAAATATTTGAGAGATAATAGCTGGGCATGGTGGTACACACCTACAATCCCAGCACTTGGGAGGCAGAGGCAGACGGATCTCTGTGAGTTCAAGGCCAGTCTGGTCTACATAGTGAATTCCGGGACAGCTGGGGCTACAGGGAGACCCTGTCTCAAAAAGACCAAAAAAAAAAGAAATGCTTGGGGTTGGGGAGATAACTCAGCAAAGTGCCTGCTGCATAAGCATGAGAATTGAGTTCAGATCCCCAGTACCCCCATAAAAGCCAGTGGTAGCAGCTCTGTATCCCCAATACTGGGGAGTGGAGGTAGAGACAGGTGGATCTCTGGAGCTCATTGGTCAGTCAGTCTAGCCAATCTATGAACTCCAGGTTCAGTAAGAGACCCACCTCAAAAAAATAAGATGATGAGTAATAGAGGAAGACACCAGATGTAAACCTATGGGCTCCAAATGCATGCATACATGTGTATGTGTATCCACATGTATGTGTGCACACACATAACACATCACACACACAAATATAAATTTTTAGGTCTCCTCTCAGGTTTACACTACATCAGAAACTTGGTGATTGAGTCCAGAGATGGAGTTTTACCAAGTTTTGGTTATTCTGATGACTATAACATGTGAGAGCCACTGGGATGACAGATGGGAAAGTTGTGACATACTCAGTTTTGGTGAGTATTCATGGTGACATTAGTGATCACTGGCTTCATGTCCTTAATACTTTTGTCACATTTTAAGAAATGGGGTATAGCAATGGAGAGATGGCTCAGCAGTTAAGAGTACTGGCTGCTCTTGCAGAGGACCCAGGACCCAGGTTCAGTTCCCAGCACCCACAGGTGGCTAACAACCACCTGTAACTCCAGTTCCAGGAGATCTGATGCCCTCTTCTGACCTCTTCGAGCACTGCACATGTAGGCAATACACTCATATACATAAAAATATATAAATAAATAAGAAAAGAAATGGAGTATACCTTGTCTTCACCCAGGATTGGAGAGATTTGTATGATGAATGGAGCTATAAGTATTTATTCTGGAGAAAATAAAGACTGTGGATAGTAAGATCAGTAATTTCAAAATTTAAAGGTTTCTGCTTAGTGTTTATTCAGAGGAAGAATAATAAGTAGACATTTCAGGAAGATAGACTTGGACTTCCTAAATGGAAGGGGCTGTACCTTGATGTAATGGACTACTATATATTTACAGGATTTCAACCCTGTCTGTATGATCATCTTGCATTTGGTTGATGTAGGGATTAGATTTACTTTCAGATGTAAAATTGTGACTCGCATACTCCAAGTAAGATACATATGAACAAGTTCTTAGAATAAATAGCACACTGACTAAGTGCCAAGAAGATAAGAAGGAAATGGTTAAAATCCAATAGGATTTTAACAGGGACAGGGAGTTGGAAGGGTGGGCTTTTCTTAGATGTGTGTCTCTGAATGTCAGTAATTTGCCAGATGAGAAAGAAAGGTATTTGGGGTGTGTGTGTGCATGCGTGCGTGCGTGCGTGCGTGCGTGCGTGCGTGTGTGTGTGTGTGTGTGTTTTATGGCTAATGAACACAAGGCAATGGGAGAGTAAGACAACTGAAGATTTGGTAGGTTTCACTTTTGTGTTGGAAAAAAATAAACTGGTTAACCTGGAGTGTATGATAGATAGGAAGACAATGGAAGATTTGCTAAGAGGACAATATGTTGGCCAAATCCTGTCATTGGGCAGGAGTTCCTTTTTTCAGATGCTAAGATTTGTGTGTTCTCAGAAGACTCAATTGTCACTGAATTGTTCTTGATGCTGTATAAAACTGTTAGCTGGGGTTAGAGGAGTGGCCTACCTGCTTCACATTCATAAGGCCCTGAATTTGATTCTCAGTACCACAGCAAAGAAATAAATGTAAAAAGCTAGCCATTTATAATTTTCTAATAATTTTATTTATGTTCAATAAGCTGCAAGTACATGTAATCATTTCTGAACTATTTTATAATACAGTGAACCATCCGATCTGTCTTGCTGAGACAGTGTTTAAGCACAACAGTCCTGCAGGTGACATGGCATGTTTGCTTCTTTTTCCTATAGGCATGAGTATCCAAGAATCTGTCAGTCTGGATGCTCTCAATACATATATGCAACATCTTGAAGATAAATATATGAAACTTAAAGAAGATATGTCAACAAAATATGTACCGGCACAAAAGAAGGCTGACGTAGATGAGGAAATGATTGTGTTGATAAAACGGCGAGATATAGCTGAAAATCTGAACAAAGACTTACGGTTTCGGTATAGAAATTGATTTATTTTAAAATTTGAAGGCTTTGTTTGTGTTTACTTTTCTGCCATGTGATCTTAGCTTGATACGTCATTGATGTTTTTATATTTACAGCCATCAAAGACTGAAGATTATTTCACATGTACTTACTTCATGGCTGAGATCTGACATGAGAATCCCATTTCAAGACATCCTGGAGCAAATTCAGAAAACCAAAACTGAATATGGTAGTTTGTCTCTATTTTCAATTAACACACACAGTGAATGACCGTATTCCCCAGAAAGTTAAAGGGTTTCCTAGACTGAGCTTAAAGAAAGCAAATATATACTTAGCTCTTCTAGTTCTGTTAACCCTATAAGCTTCTTACTTCAGTAGCCAACAGATAATTAGTAGAAGAGTAGACCTGGCGAACCAAAGAGAAAACCTGAAAGTGTTCCTGAAGGTAAGGAGGAAAGGGACAGGGTGGTCACTTGGTTTAGCAGGAGGTTGGTGCTATTTTAAACCAAAGCAATCATTTGTTGGTTTTAAACATGTTTATTATCTATTGATAAACAACCTTACATTCTTACAGTGGTTCTTTCTATATTCTTAGGTGATGAAGGTATTGTTGATGAGCTGTTTGAAGATGATCCAAGCAAGGCAAAGGAAGCTGTAATTATTCTTTACTACATTGAAAGGCAAATAGCTTTTGTAACTTGGGTTTTGGGTTTTATTTTTGTTTGTTTGTTTGAGGCAGCATCTCATGTGTCTTCTCCTGCTGACACTTCCCAAGTGCTAAGTTTACAGGCATATGTCACCAACACAGGTTTGCCTTTTGTATTTTGAAAATTCTATTCCAGTTGATAAATTAGGGGGGGAAAAAGAATTTCCTTTCTTTCATAATCTTGATGAAAAAAATTACTGGACTGTAGATGTATTTCAGAGGAGTTAAGATTATTTTATATAGAGGATATATATGTTTTATTTATATTTTTCTCACATTTCTATCAACTTGATGTTATTAAATGTTTTTGACACTGTCCTTTTGATTCAGATTATCCCAGATAATTCAGTCTTTTGGTAGCTATTTTTACTCTATGACATATTAAGTTATTTATTATTATGTACAGTATTTAAGATAGATTTTAAAAGGTCTGATGTGTTCTCCTTAGAAGTTACTTCATAGGCTTTCAGGCCAATACATAATGGGCATATGTAATATCTATAATCTTAAATGTTAAACAGTATTCAAGCCAGGCATAGTAGCACATGCCTTTAATCCCAGCTCTCGGGAGGCAGAGGCAGGTAGATTTCTGTGAGTTCAAGACCACCCTAGTCTACATAGTGAGTTCTAGGCCAGCTGTGCTACAGGAAGACCCTATCTCAAAAAGACCAAAAAGAAAATAAAATGTTTTTACCTGTGCATTTACTTGTTATGATACAAAGAAGTGGGTAAAGATAATTTGAGGCTTTGGACTCCAAAGTCTGTTATTTTCTTGCACTAATTACTTCTCAAAGCCTACTAGTTTTAAAAAAATGTAATGTAATTTAAAATTTTTTATTGCTTCGTTTGTGCATGTGTTTGTTTGTGTGTGGGTATGTGGATGCACATGCACATGTGTGTACATGACTGTGAAGGCCAGAGGTCGATTTTGGGTGTCATCTTCAATTGTTTCTCCACCTGACCTATTTACTTATTTATTGTTAACTGTGTGTGCACATGTCATGGCACTCGTAGAGATCCAAGGACAACTCTCTCCAGAGATTGAATTTAGGTCAGCAGGCTTGCAGGGAAGTGCTTTTACCCACTGAGCCATCTCACCAATCCCTCCACCCTTTTTTCTTTTTCTTTTTTTGAGACAAGGAAGGTCTCATCATAAGCCCCAGCTGGCTTGGAACTCACTATGTAGATCAGGCTAGCCTTGATCTCACAGAGATCTGCCTGCTTCTGACTCCTGACTGTTGGGACTAAAGGCATGCCCCACCACTCTGTTTTGTCACCACTGGGATTATCGGCACTACACTGTGCCAGCGTTTACGTGGGTACTGGATCTGACAACTCAGGTCCTCTTGCTTGAGTGGCAAGTACTTTACAAACTCCAGAAGCCCCATCCTCCAAATTTGATGAAAGAAAAACCTTGATTGAGATTTCAAAGTTTTATGCATTTTGATTCAGTGTTTGTTCCGGTTTGTTCAGCATTCATTTGCAATGCTATAAACTCTTTTTCCTCAGGGCTAGCTTGAAGACCTTTGCTGTGGGAAGAAGAGTAGAGACTTACATTAGCTACCATGGCTCCTGTGTTGGTCCAGTGTTTACTTGGGAGTCCAGTGCCTGGCAGATCAATATTGGCTTCTGAATTCTAAGACTACCTCATGGTCTCCAGCTGGGCCATTGTCATGTTTAATTGTTCTCCCTAAGCTGAGCCTCTGCACAGATTGCTCTTCATTGGGGGATGGGGTGGGGGGAGGATAACCGAAGCTCATTGTAAATTCACTTTAAGTTGTTACTTCTCATTTTCTTTGTAAGTACTATAGGAATAAAGTACAGGATCAGATTCAAAGACCATTGGAAGGTGAGACTTTAATACTGAGACAAAATAAAATAAACCCTAGGGAGCTGGAGAGATGGCTCAGTGGTTAAGAACACTTGCTGTTCTACCAGAGGACCCGGATTCAATTTCCAGAACCCACACAGCAGCTAACAACATCTGTAACTCAAGTTCCAGGGAATCCAACACCCTCTTCTGGCCTCTGTGGGCATCACATGCACATGGTGCACTTACACATGCAGGCAAAACACTCATACACATAAAATAAAAATAATAAATAAGCCGGGCATGGTGGCACGTGCCTTTAATCCCAGCACTTGGGAGGCAGAGACAGGTGGATATTTGTGAGTTCGAGGCCAGCCTGGTCCACACTGTGAGTTCCAGGACAGCTGGGGCTACGGACAGCAGGGGCTACAGGGAGACCCTGTCTCAAAAAGACAAAAATAAATAAAAAAATATTAAAAAAATGATAAGATAGGAAGCAATTGAGAAGGACACCAAACATTGACCTCCACACACAGGCACACACATCCAGATACACCTGCAAAAACAAAAACAAAAACAAAAACAAAAACCTAGAATGTCGAAGGAAAAATTGGACATCTTACCAAGTGAATGGATCTAGTTGTAACTTATTAGATTACTTTTTGTTTTTCACATTATGCCATTACATTTAATTTGTAATAGACGTTTTTATCAGCTTTCTTTTTGTGTATCATTGTAACACATAAAATGCAATGGCTGTAGGTTTGATGAATTAATCTCCCTTGGTGAATACGAAAGGGCAGCATGTTTTGCAGCAAAGAGTCCCAGAAGAATTCTTCAAAACATTGGTACAATGAATAAATTTAAGGGTAAGCAATTCTTTCTTAACTATATATGCAAATTATACTTTGTTTTTTTCTTAATAGAATGAAGAGAATTATTGAGAGGCTGGTCCCTACCCCCGTCTCTATTATTTACTGTTTCTGAAGCTATAATATTAGGGGTTTGATTAGATTTCCTAAGTTAAATTATAAAATATTTTGTATATAGAAAAACATGGAGAAACATATTATACTCATATGCTTGCTAACAAGATTTGATAACGTTAACATTTTTGTCAAATTTGTTCACCTCCTTAAATCACTTTCTTGTGGCAAATTAACATATATAAAACAAATTGTACATTTTTTGGCGTAATATTGAGAATGAAACATAGGGTTTCATGCATGCTAGGCAAACACTCTACCACTGAGCTATACCCCCAGCTAAGTTTGACATATGTATGTACCACAACATCATCACCACAAAGCTCCCTCATGCCAGTTGGTAGTCCTCCTCTTTCACCCCTTCCACCCTCTACTGTCCACAGCCTCTCTTTCCTGAAGACTCCATTCAACCACTAGTCTGCTTTTAGTTACCATAGATTAGTTTCCATTTCCTATAATTTTATATAAATGGAATCATGCAATAGGCATTATTTTGTGACTGACTTCTTGAGTAAAATTAAATTCATTCCTGTGAAATCTGATTCATGAAATTAATACAAATTAGATATATTATTTGTAAATACCTCCTCTCTTTTTATTCTCTTAATAGTTTCTCTCTAAGACTACATTTTTTAGGGTTTTTTTGTTGTTTTTCTTTGTTTTGAGACAGGGTCTCACGATGTAGCTCTGGCTGACCTCCAACTCAAGGATCTGCCTGCCTCTGCCTCCCCAGCCTGGGATTAAAGGTGTGTACCATCATGCTTTGCCTTTATGTTTTATTAAAATCAAGTTTGTGGAATTTTTTCTTTTATGTATTCTGATTTCAGTATCATGCCTAGGAAATCTGTGCCATACTCTTCCAGGTGCATGTGAAGGTCAGAGGACAACTTTTAAGAGTCAGTTCTCTTCTTCTACCGTGTAGGTCCTAGGGATCAAATTCAGCTCATAAGGTTTGGTGGCAAATGCCTTTACCCACTGAACCTTTTCACCCACCCTAGTATATTTTTTACTAAATTTGTTCTTTGACAGTTTCACTCATGTGTATAATGCACTCTGGTTGCTCTCATCCCCACGCTCTCCTAGCTCTCTTCCACCCTACCAACAGCCCCACTTCCCTAAAAGCTCCTTTCTCACATTCATGTCATTTTGTTTTATTTTATGACCCACCGCATTTAACTGGGGCCATCTGTATGGACATGGGTTTGGAACTGCCCAAGGGAGTTTAATGGGCTTACCTGTGAGTACTCACCTGAAGACAAGATTGCACCTATTCTAGAATTCATCAGGCAAACATTAGGCCTTTTTTTTTTCCCAGTGTTTTTGGTCTTTTTGAGACAGGGTCTCCCTGTAGCCCCACCTGGCCTGGAACTTACTATGTAGACCAGGCTGACCTTGAACTCACAGAGATCTGCCTGCCTCTGTCTCCCAAGTGCTGGAATCTTTTTTTTTTTTTTTTTTTTAAGACAGTCTTACTATATAGCACTGGCTGTCCTAGAACTAGCTTATGTAGACCAGGCTGGCCTCAAATTCTTAGAGATTTGCCTACCTCTATCTCCCAAGTACTGGAATTAAAGACCGTGTTCTGCTTTTCTGTTTCCTAAATCCAAGACTCTTTTGTCCAACTGTATTCTTAAAATTTTCCTCACTTGAAGAGGAGTCAAATAAAAATCTGAAAAATAAGATATTTTCTGCTCAAAAAAGGAAAATAACCATATTAAGAACTTAAATTGACTGTCTTTTCCCCCTAAAAGTTCAGGCATTGGATATACATACAGTTTAAATACAAAAATGAATTATAGTCATACTAATTTTTAAAATCATGCTAGTTTGAAATTGAGATGTTCTGGTGATTGGCTGAGCCTACATATCCATTTATATTTGTCTCTTTGGTTAGCGATAAAGCAATAGAGTTTGCAGGAGGAACTTTGTCCCTGGTGTATTTATAAGGATAAGCTCAGAAGACGCCACATCATTTGCTTTCTCTGTTCAGATCATAGTTTTTCTTTGGTAAGACTAGGTTTGTACTACTAATGGGAGAATCTATGGCTCAAAGTAAAAGAAACTTATTTTCTCAAAGTTCTGCAAACTAGAAGTCTGAAAAATGTTAACAGGGCCAGCCCTTCTGGCAACTCTAAGGAAGATCCCCCAACTTCTGTGGCTCAGCATTTTTTGGTGTCTTTTGGCTTGTTGACAAATATTGTAATCTCTACCTCCATCTTCATATGGCCTAGACAATGATATTTAGTTATCTAAAAATGTAGAGTTTAAGTACCTTTATTGTTAAAAATTTAGAAGATATAAAGAAATTAAAATTGTACTATGAAATAAGAAAAACAACCAAGCCAATTTTTAATGAATTTGACCAAAAACTTTTGTTTCTTTCTTTCTTTTTGCAGCTGTTGGAAAGATTAGAGGAAAGCCTCTTCCATTACTCTTATTTTTTGAGGAAATATTTAGCACAAGTCATGCTTTCAAATGTCCTATTAGTGCAGATCTAACTCTGGAAGGAATTAAATGTGGATTATCTGAAAAACGACTTGATTTAGTTATCAATTGGGTTACCCAAGAAAAGTAAGCAAAATTAAGCTGCTAACTTAATTTTGATATTTGATTAATATGGCTCTTTGTTTTCTAACTTATAATAATTTGTTGTGGTTGTTAGTATAGAGTCTTACTGTGTAGCCCAGGCTGGCCTCAAATTCAGGATCTTACCTCAGTCTCCTAGGTGCTAGGATTATAGGCTTGTGATACTACATACAGTTAATAGTTTTGTTATAAATACATTATTGGAGGACTTACTTTAGTTCCTTATTAAAATTAATCAATTAGAAAGTATTCACAGAGGGACTAGAGAGATGGCTCAGTGGTTAAGAGCACTGTGTTCTTGCAGAGGATTTGGGTTCGGTTCCTAGCATCCACATGAAAGTTCACAACTATTTGAAACTCCAGTGTAAGGGATCCAACTCCCTCTTCTGACCGCTACAGAACACTCATACACATAAAATAAAATAAAACAAAACATCATAAATTTAAATAAGAAAGTATTCATGGACTCAGTTACAATGAGCTTAGACTAAAAGTTAATTCATTGCAGTTCACAAGATAAAACATGGTAACATAATGGTAGATGGAAGCTGAGCAATAAGGACACAGAAGGATTAGTCAGTATCACACTTCTTGGAAGAGAAAAGGCAAGGAACCTGGTTCTAGACAGGTATGGGCACACACATTATAACCCGGGGGACAACATAGAAGCAGAAAAGAACATTGAGGATGGTAACATTTAGAATTTTTTTTTTGTCTTTTTGAGACAGGGTCTCTCTGTTGCCCTAGCTATCCTGGAATTCACTGTGTAGACCAGCCTGGCCTTGAACTCACAGAGATCCACCTGCCTCTACCTCCTGAGCGCCATGCCCGGCTAACATGTAGAATTTTTAAGAACACTTAATGACAGGAGGTGGCTTCTTGGCACTGTGTCTCAGCACAGACCTGCAGACTTATGTTGGTTCTTGTAGGTTAGGTTATCTCGAACCGAAGCCTGAAATGGGAATTTTGGTGTACATGATTGACAGAGGAAGGACTTCTCAGGTGCATTTCCTCTTAGAGACAGAAGTAGAACAGAGAAGGGAAAGAGCCAAGCAAGGATGTGGTCTCAAGGAACATCTCCTTGCTAGGGCTTTGAAATACAAACCACCCTTCAGAGCTGTTCTACCTTGAGGTAAGGAACCAGCCTTTCCTACATTTCCTTCAATTTTGTTGGTTTATATAGCTTGATAAAGATATGTTACAGTTATTAAAGTTATAGTATATTTTTCTGAGTAAATCAGTATTGTGTTTAAATGTGGGAAAAGAAGATCTGGCAGAACAAGATACCCCAAAACTATTGGTTTCATATGAAATGAATTTGTGCATGAAAGAGGGAAGGTAGAATAAAAAGAAGGAAGGAGAGAAGAGAGGGATGGGGAGGGTTCAGGGGATCCAAAGGTGAAGGCAGATAGAAAAAAGGATGGAGTTAGAGGGAGCTTACACACTGGAGTAAATAGTGTGAACTAAGAAATCAGGCTTTACTAAATGGAAAGGAAAACAAACTAGACTATGGGCATGAAATAATTATGAACTTGCTTCCAACAAGATAATGTTTGGTAAAGTATACACTATCAGAGAGGAACTATTTAGAGAAATAAATTGAGCCTTAGTGTTGTCATGGAAAGGTAGAGATAAATTTTATTACAGTTTTAAAAATATAATGGACAAGTACATGAGAATAGAATAGAGAAGGGGAAGGAGCCAAGCAAGGGCATGAACTCTGATAAAACCTAGTATAATCTTTGTCACAGAAGGAGGGCTATGGGGCTTGAATCTTTAACACGAAATTGTTTCTTTATTGAAGGGCTGGTTTTTCGTGCCACTTGTCAGTCATAAACTATGGATTATTGGGAGTTGTGGCTGCCAAGGCTCTAGTCACTTGAGGACAGTTCTTTATACAAGAGGGTAGCTGTGGACTGTTACTAGTTAGAGGAGGGGCACTGGTTCCATAAGGGACTTGAGTGAGGCACCAAAACTGCCTACCACAGGGCCTAACAACTTACAAAAAATCAATTTGAGAACCACTAAGTGGTTATGCTGGATCTGTGTAGATATAGTTTGGACTGTGAGTCTTGGAAGGCAGAGTAGGGGAAGGCCTCTCTGTCGTATGTCATCTTCCATGGTGACATACGCTGGTTGCAGCTTTCTTTCTTTCTTTCTTTCTTTCTTTCTTTCTTTCTTTCTTTCTTTCTTTCTTTCTTTCTTTCTTTCTTTCTTCTCTCTCTCTTTCTTTCTTTCTTTCTTTCTTTTTTTTGCAAGTTATATAAAGAATTTTATTTCCCGGAACAGAATGTACATACTTTGCAGATACAATAGGCCCTCCATATCTGGTTGTAGCTTTCTTGACTCTGAGTATATAGGGACATATTAGAACATTCTTACAGTTCTTAAGAAGCGTGTCCTTGTGAAAATGGAGATAGACATAAGTACTTCCTAAGTATCAAGTCCATAACTGAGTAATGTCCCAAACATTAAACAGGCAAGTTTCCATACTACTGCATTTTGCCACCCATTCTAAATCTATCACTTCTCCTGTATGATTTTGAGTAGTCTGAAGACATCTTGGTTCAAAAGCGTATTGTTTACCAGTGCAAGTTGCTTTTCTTCCCCTCCCTGTTGTTTGGCCTTTACTGTCCCCAGAGTTGTTCGTTTTATTTTTAGGAGTTGTCTTCCTGTGTATATCCTTCTTTTCTCTTTTCCCCCTTCTTTCCTTTCCTCCCGGCCACATTTCTATACTCGCCACAGAAATTCCTTATAAGGGAGCACTGGACATGACTTGGACTTGAGACATCAGAAAGCTCTGTTCTAACACCTGTTCTCTAGTGTGAAAATACAGATAGATTTCCTAATCCACAGTGCTGGTTCTTGACCCATTTTACCTCTTTGTTGTTGACTTTAATATTTGTTATTCATATGCAGTTCCTTGACTCCATACATTGACAAAACATTCCATCTTTTTTTTTTTTTTTTTGAGACCGGGTCTTACTGTGTGGCCCTGACTGGCCTGGAACTTGCTATGTAGACCAGGCTGGCTTCAAACTCAGAAATCCACCTGCCTGCCTCTGCCTGGGATTAAAGGTGTGTGCCACCATGTCTGGCATATTCCATCATTTCATTCTTTTTATTTTTTTATTCTTTTTATTTTTATTTTTGTCTTTTTGAGACAGGGTCTCCCTGTGGCCCCAGCTGTTCTGGAACTCACTATGTAGACCAGGCTGGCCTCGAACTCACAAAGATCCTCCTGCCTCTGCCTCCCAAGTGCTGGGATCACCACCACGCCAGGCATATTCCATCATTTCATTCTTTTTATTTTTATTTTTGTCTTTTTGAGACAGGGTCTCGTAGCTCCAGATACCCTGCAACTCTCCATGACCTTGAACTCCTGATCGTCCTGTCCTTATCTTCTAAGTGCAGGGATTACAGGCATGCCTACTATGTCCGGTTTATGAGGTTAGGTATTGAACCCAGGGCTTCATGTATGCTAGGCAAGCACTCTACTATCTGCGCTGTATCCTCAGCCCTATTCTTTTCTTTTTGTGGTAGTACTAGAGATTAAGCCCAGGGCCTCACACATGCTAAGCAAGTGCTTGACCACTGAGCTACTGTCCCAGAATGTAATTCATATTATTCTTGGCCTTTGTTGCCCCTGATTTCTGCGTCTGGTGACCTGACCTTTATTTATGGCTGCCTTCACATATTCCAGTTCTTTCCAGAAGCTTAGTGTAGAGCTTAGATTGTAGGCTAATCTTGATTTTTTTTAGTTATTTATGCCTGGCAAACTGACTAACTTAACCTACATTTGAGATATGATGTTTTACTTTGTCTGCTCTCTAATTGCAGATATTTCTTCAAAAGAAGATAAACGTGTTTTGAAATATTAACTTTTAAAACTTAATCCTATAAAAATAACAGCAAATAAATGCCATGCATGGCTTTAGTGATTATATATTACCTTCATTTATATTTTTTAAAAAGATTTATTTTTATTTTACATATGAGTATTTGCCTGCATGTATGTATGTGCACCATGTGCATGCCTGTTACCCTTGGGAGCCAGTACAGGGTGTCAGATCCATTGGAACTGGAGTTACAGGTGGTTGTGAACTGTAAAGTCAAATTTACTTCTGGGAGGCTGTGTGCTCTCGGCTTTCAGGCCCACTAGGAGGCATGCTGCAGCCATCTCTCCCACAGTCCTTATGACAAAAATTACAGTTTCGGGAATAACGGTGTTTATTTGGGTTTCCTTACAGAGTTTGTGATGTCCAGGAGGGGGTTACTTACAAAGGTATGCACCTTTGGGCTTTTTTCCCTACATCTCAGCTCTGCTGCCTGCTGGCCCAAGATTGTGAAGCTCCTGCCACCTCCCTGGCTTCTTCCATGTCTGTCCACGGGCCCTCCCCCTTGTGCAATTGAAACTGACCGATTGGGTGGAAGGGGTGACTCTCTCCATCCCTTTCTATGGAGTTCAGACATCCAGTTGTTGCTAGTTCTTTTGGAGGATATGCCTATCCAACATGAGCCACCATGTTGATGCTGGGAATTGAACCTGTATCCTCTGCAAGAGCAGCAAGTGCTCTTAACTGCTGAGCCATCTCTCTAGACCCCTTCATTTGGATTTTTAAAATCTGATTTATATGTGGGTTCCCAATATTCACGTATAAATGGCAACTAACACCCATCCTTAATTTCGGTTCCAGGGGATCCCATGCTCTCTTCTGGCCTCCGTGGGCATTGCATGCATGTGGTGCACTTATATACATGCAGGGAAAACACACACATAAGATAAAATAGAATCTTAAAAAAAAATTCTTTTAAAACATGTTTTGTTTTGTTGAGATGAAGTTTTGTTTTGTAGCCCAAACTGGTGTCAAACTCACTATCCCCCTGCCTTAGACTCCCCAGTACTGGAATTATAGGCTTGCACCACCATCCCTGGCTTAAGATACTAAGTACTGATACTGTCATTTTGCTCTCTACTTGACATAAAGACTAAAATAATTATTTGTCCATCCTCAGGAAGTATGAGTATCTGTTCTAAAAATACATATTTTAATATTAAAGTGTGAAAATAGGGGAGCTGCTTGATAGGCTGCCTTCTGATTCTTGAACCACTTTTCTGCTGTCCACCCCAGTAAGCACAGAAGCCCGTATTTACTGAATGTTTGATTAGGAGACACTTTTATAAGGGGTATCAGGATTTCATTTTAATGTTACCAGCATTTTGTTAGATGTGTACAAATACCAATCTTATGTGAGTCCTGCTATTTTGTAGTCATTAATTAAAACTCTAGCTAAAGCACAATTTCCATATAAGCACTAATTAAAGTGATATTTCTGATCATACCCAAATGTTCTCTTGGCTTCTGTTTGGGAGTTTCTAAGTGGAGTTACTGTGATAGCACAGATGGCTCCCTCTAGTTGTCTGTACAGAGGCACATTCAGATACGATGACAAATGAAGTAATTCAGTTGAGCTGTTTTGAAAGAACTGCTTGCTCAGTCTCTCCTAATAGGCATAGTTATATCCTCCACCCCCCCATTGCTTATGAAAAATACACAGCAAATTTTAAAAGTAACAGTGCTGTTACACTTCTTTTATGTTTTCCTTTCAGTAAAAATGCAAGATCCATCACTAATTAATTATGAGCTAAAATTATTCTATCTTTTGCAGCATTTAATAAATTCCTATATTCTGCAGAATTCAGAATCTAGCTAGACTCTAGATAACTTATAAGAACATTGAGATTCCCAGGTATATGAAGACTTGACTTACGTGGTAATTTTAAGTCCTGTTAGTCTTTTCAAGAGAATTTTAATCTTGCTTGTAGATTTTAAAAAACTTGATCCCAATTTTACACAAATATTTCCCCAAAGGAATAAGTCTGATTGTTTTGGTTTTGCTGATATTGAATCTCAGATGTGTTTAATTTTTACTATAGCATCAATTGTTTATTGATTTAAGAATTTAAATATAGGTTATATACAATCCATTTTTATTGTTCTTGATATTCAAATATTTCAGTCTTAATCACTGATCAAGAATTCTCTGACCTGGGCCTTAATGATCTTGCTCCAGGCTGACATTTTCTGAGAAAGCTGGGGATGTGATTTGTGCATATGGGGACCAGAATACTCACAACAAGGCTAAGTGCTTGGCTTTAGCTCAGATTATCTACAATGAATGTGGCCTACACAAGAAAGCTGTTCTTTGCATGTGTAAACAGGGTCAGATTCACGAGGCTGTGGAGCACATACAACAATTCAAGGACTTTACCTTTGGTAAGTAAAAAAGGCTTCTTATTTGTATACATTCGCATTCTGGGTTTTAATTCTGACATCACTTGTAGTAGCAGGCATCATTTTAACCTGACATCATAACATTTTTATATGTGCTGATGAGGAGATTTCTTTTGTTAATTTTTATGAAAATAAGTAGAGCTAATTTTCAGGTAGACATTCAAATGCATTATGCGTTTTCTCAAAGGAAACATTTAATAAGTGACTATTACTAGAAATACATAGTATTAAAGATTAATTGATATGCTGAACCATGCTACATGAAGGATTTTTTACTT